GCCCTTTGCCCCTCTCCACTGGGGTCCTGCAACCCTCCAGGCATTCACTGCATTATTGTCTGTGCCCATGGGTTATGCATATAAGTTCTTTGATTAAATTTCTTCCCACACCCCCTCTCCCTTTCCCTCTAAGATTCGTCAGTCTGTTGCATGCTTCCATGTCTCTGGACCTATTTTGTTTATTAAATTCCACATATAAGTGAGATCATGTGATACTTGTCTTTTTCTGACTGGCTTATTTCACTTAGCATAATAACCTCCAGATCCATCCATGCTGTCCCAATGGGTAACAGATCCTTTTTTATAGCTGCATAGTATTTTATTGTATAAATACGTTATAATTTTTTGTCCACTCATCTACTGATGGGCACTTAGGCTGTTTCCAGAGCTTAACTATTGTACATAATGCTGCTACGAACATAGGGGTGCTTGAAAAGTTTCCCATCCTCAATTTCCTAATAAATTTTGTGGGCATCTGTGGAACACTATGGGTTTCATTAAAACTTATTGAAAACTGAAGCATTACAAATTACTTCTCCAAACATTTTTAGGATATAATTCCTAAAATTCTCTTCTCATACTAGATGGTAGAGTATTATTTTTACCAATAACTTAACTACCCACTTCATATGGAATATAGCAACATACAAAAATTACCAGGAAGAAATGAATATAAAATTTAAGGGATGAAGTGGAATAGATCATGGTATTCATTCAGTCCACAAATATTAACTGAGTAACTACTGTATGCTAGCCCCTGGTCTTAGTGCTTAGGATACATCAGTGAACAAAACAAAGATCCTTGCTCTCATGCAGCTGACATTCTAGTAGAACAGAGACAGATAATAAACACAATAACTATATTATGTGGAATATAACAAATTGTCATGAATATTATGAAAAAATAAAGGAAAGGGTGATTTGAAGTACTGAGTGAATCAGGTTACATCTGGAAATACAAATTTACACTATTAATTTAAAAAGTTTCCTTCCATTACAAATACCTTTCCCCTAAATTCCCAATGCATTCTCCCCTGCGCCCCCCCCCCCCCCCCC